ATTAAATGCAGTACTTCTCAAAACCTAAGCTATGGAGTGTTTTTGTAAAAATATGTCAAAATAAGCTGATTTAAAACATCCAGCCTCCTTTCTTACTGTAAGCCAGATCAATTATTCTGGGAAACTGCCTGCATGCTTTTTTTTTTTTTTTTTTTTTAAATTTTCCTCAAAATAAGAAAAGATTAATAGGTACTTAGGTTTTAAAATCAAAATGTGCGATTGTGTTGTGTCATTGTTATTGTGACAGTGATGAAGTGTGACGGTTTGCATTCTAGATTGAGCTCCAGTGCCTCCAGCCGAGCTCAGCCAGCTGCTGCTGCCTGCATGCTGGTTGTTGGACTTCCTGGGTTGCAGCCAGCCTCCATTTCCATCCTTTCTATTTCTTTTCCTGGTGCCCATGTTGAGAATAAAAGGAGGTGCTGATGGTCGACTGTTCTGAAAGCCCACAAATGCCACCTACTTTTCATTTCTCTCTAGCTGTGGAAGTAGGAGTTGCGTGTTTCTACTTCCCACAAGTGCTAACCCTTGGCTAGTTTGAAGGGGTTCTCTGCTCTGTGTGTGGAATTGCTGGTCCTGTTTGGGTGCCTCCTTCCTTGCCTGATACAGTTTTGGGGTTGTTTAAACCCAAGTCTCCTTCAGAAGGCTGCAAGTAATGAACAATCACCTTTCCTCAAATTATTACTTCTGTATTATTTTCCATTGGAAATGGCAGAACATCTAGAAATCCCAGGCAAGTGATGGCTGCATCCACAGATATCAGCTGTACATCACCTTCCAGTACCTGAGGGGGCTGACAAGAAATCTGGAGAGGGACTTTTTACAAGATCATGTAGGGATAGGACAAGGAGAAATGACATTGAACTGAAAGAGGGGAGATTTAGATTAGATATCAGGAAGAAAGTCTTTACTGTGAGGGTGGTGAGACACTGGCACAGGTTGCCCAGAGAAGCTGTGGCTGCTCCATCCCTGGCAGTGTTCAAGGCCAGGTTGGACGGGGCTTTGAGCAACCTGGTCTTAGTGGAAGGTGTCCCTGCTCATGGCAGGGGGCTTGGAACTAGGTGATCTTTAAGGACCCTTCTAACCCAAACCATTCTATGATCTGTTCAGCTAGATAAACATACCCAAATAAGTTCATTTGCCGTGTGTTGTGAATACTTATGTGAATTGCTCTGTGTTCAAGCTTGAGTGGTTCTGTGCATGCGGATGTGCTTGGTGCATTGTGGTTGCTTCAAGCCTCCTCTTAGGATGCATCAACCACCCTCACCTCTCTGTCACTGCACTTCAGTCTTCCTTCTGCTGAAGTTATATTATATTTATATTATATTATTTACTTAATGTATTTAGTCGTTGATTATTTTAGTGCTTAGAATGTACTTTGTACTTCTCTTTACCCTAAGAGTCTTTGTTATATCTTACAAAAGCCATGACTGTAACACCACAGAAGTAAAACTTCTGACATACCTGTTGCTGAAATAGAATTTAACTAAGTTTGTGATAGCAGTTATTTCAGAAAGGATAGTCTAAATAGATCCTATGTTATCTATAGAGTAGTAGAGTTGTCAAGTTACAGTTTGCTTTGTGGAATGATGTCTGTTTTATCCAGTAGAATATTAATGCTGGGCAGCAGGGACAGGAGGAAAGCCCATCATGAGAAGTATTTCTAACTTCCAGTTTTAAGGGACAGGTGCATTACAGAAGCACATACTGAATCTAGTTAAAACAGATGGCAACCTTTACTTAGCTATTTTTCTTTAGAAGGAGAAATACAAGAAATTACAGTCATGCAGAACTTGATGTGTTCCAGTTGAATGCTAATTGTGACAGTTGTCTGTGGCTTTGTAACAGGGGTGGTTTTGTTTAGCCATAAATGCCATGGCCAATGGGGTCAAATACTTATCCAAAGTGGCTGTGTGTAAACTGGCTTGCAAGCCAGCTATGTCAAAGCAGAGTTTGTTCATTTGAGTAATTTTTTTCTTTGACTTTGTGTCCGAGTCTGAGCAGATGAAAAATCCCACCGAAGAGCAAGCCAAAAGCTTAAATGCTAGAAATGAGCAAGTGCCTCTCTGCGTGTCTACCTTTCAGCACGGAAGGGTGCTTCTCCACCCTTTGCTGTTACTGTGCATTATTTTTGGCAGTAGTGGCCCCAAAGTTTCTGAACCAATGGCCACGGCAAGTGCTGGGGCAGCTCTGCTCTGCAGTGCCCAATTCTGGCTCTCTCCTCACTTCCCAACTCACTAGACTTCCCCCCCGCCCCGAATTTTAGTTTTCTGCTCTTTTTTTTTTTCCTCCCCAGATCCTTCTGAATTACATGTTGATTTAGCTTCCTTTTTATCCCAAGTTCTTTAATTCATAGTAGTATTTTCTGTGACTTGCTGTCATAGAAACGAGGGCTTTAGAAGACCTTACGAGCTCGTGTAATCCATTTCACTACTTCAAGGAAAAAACTACTCTTTTTAGACCAACTCTGGCAGACATGTGTCTCATCTATTTTTAAGAACCTCCAACAAAGTGGATTGTGTGACCTCTCTGGGTGATCAGCCTAGTGCCTTGCTTTTTAAATAATGTTCCTAAGATCATGCCTGTTGCAGTTTAAGTCAGATTCCTTCACCAGAATGTCTCTGAAAATCCTGTCCAGAGCAAACCGTGTTGCCAACTCAAAACTATTCTGTTCATATCTCTCTAGACCATACTTTTACTTTTGGTGTTTGTTTTTGAACTTACTCTCTTGACTCTTAGGGCATTTGCAAATCACTTAAGTTTAGTTCCATCTCATCATGTGGTCCATGCAGGTAGTATTGCCTTGTTTGCATCGGCTGAAACCTAAATGTGTGGTTGCGCTCTTGACATGTTACACCTGCAACTTCCCTCGGACAGTCTCCTTCCTGAAAGCATGTGCAGATTATGAAAAGCTTGATCATATAGAAAGAGGCTGAACGATATTGCCCTTACCATTACTGAACAAGGAGGCTGCCTCTTCATTTCAGTGTCCTGTTTGGAGACACTCCTCGTGGCCTTTAATCTCTTCCTCGGCTGGTCTGAACTGGCACCTTGGTTTGACCCTCTGGGTGTCCTGGTGTCTCCTCTGCTGAATTTGGAGGATCCCTCCCTCCTCCTGCTCATTTGCCTGTTGTTATATGTGAAAATTGCTTTTTGTCTGTGACGGGTAAAGTAGCAGTTTTCATAGAATTTGATTTGAGTGGGACCTTAAAGGTAATTTAGTTCAAGCCCCTCCACCATTGGCAGGGTCACCTTCCACTAGACTGGGTTACTCAAAGCCCCGTGCAACCTGGTCTTGAACACTGCCAGGGATGGAGCAGCCACAGCTTCTCTGGGCAACCCGTGCCTGTGTCTCACCACTCTTATTGTGAAGGCTTTCTTCCTAATATCTAATCTAAATGTACCTTCTTTGAGTTTAAAGCCATTCCTCTGTGTTCTGTCACTACAGGCCCTTGTAAAGAGTCCCTCTCCAGATTTCTTGTCAGCCCCTTTAGGTACTAGAAGGCTGCTCTAAGGTCTTCCTGGAGACCTGAACAACCCAACTCTCTCAACCTGTCTTCATAGGAGAGCTGCTGCAGCCCTCTGAACATCTTCATGGCCTCCTCTGGACTCACTCCAGCAGGTCCACATCCTTCTTATATTAGAGCTCCAGAGCTGAATGAAGTACTCCAGGTGCGGTCTCTCAAGAGCAGAATAAAGGAGCAGAATCACCAATCTTGACCTGCTGGTCATGCTCCTTTTGATGCAGCCTGGCATACAGTTGCCTTTCTGGGTTGTCTGTGCACAGCGTCAGCTCGTGTTGAGCTTCTCATCAGCTAGGATCCCCAAGTCCTTCTTAGGGCTGCTGTCAATCCATTTTCCACCCACCCTGTATTTGTGCTTGGGATTGCCCGGCCCATGTGTAGGATGTTGCATTTGGCCTTGTTGAACTTCATGAGGTTCACATGGGCCCACCTCTCCAGCCTGTCAAGATCCTTCTGGATGGCATCCCTTCCCTCCAGCGTGTCAACCACACCACACAACTTTTTCTCTTACTGTACCAAATGTTTAAAGATCTTTGCTTATATACAGCTTTTTAAACACTCTTTTCTCACTGCTTTTGTTTAATTCCATGAAGCAATCTATGTTTGTGTTTGTGAAGGATACCATGTGTAGAAAACTTGCTTTGTAACTTGGATAGCTGCATTGCGAATAAATTGGCATCACACATTTTCTGACTTGCAGGTACAAGCTTGGACCCAGGGAGTGTAGCCAGGAGGGGCTGGAAGGCAAAGCAATGATGACATGTTCAGTATCCAGGTGGAGGGCCAAGAGGGCAGCTGCACGGTGCTGGGTTGCATTCCAATGTGCTGATCCATGGAACAGCATTGGCATATGCTTTGGAAGCTGCTGCTTGCTCTCCTGGCTGTAGGGAAGGGGCTGGGGTGATGGCAGTAAAGGAAGGGGTGAGTCTTTGCAGAGTATTTTTGTATGATTGTGGCCTATTCTGAGCAAGCTAGACATTTGGAGCTTGGCATTTCTTTGTGATGTCTTTGTGTACTGTGCTGCCTCTGGTAGTGCAACAGTTAATTATTCCAGAGTGGGTTGTTGAGAATTTTTTCATCCTCCTGATTCCTGAACGAGTTAATTAAATTGTAGAGAAGTTATATTTTCTCACTATTTGGGGGCTTAATGGGGTGGAGGCTTTGGAAACAGTTTAACAATTTCACATTTTATGTGCTCTAATGAATTTCCCAGTATTTTGGAAGGGTTGTATCCAACTTTAGTACCGTAATTTCCAGAGTTTTATTTATTCTGAAATAAGTTAGCAGTGGATTAAGAGGCCCAAAGAGCCAACAGATGACAAATGAACTAATGAAGACATTGTTTCTTTTGGATAAAGAGCATGACTCACAGTTGTGACTTGCATTTATGTACTGCAGACCATGAATTTTACTAGGACCAAGCTGTCAATGGGGTTCCTCTTCCATCCCCTGCTATTTCAAACCTGTATTTGATTTCAGGTGCAGAAAAGAGAGGATATGCAAGGACCAGAAACAACTCCGAATCTGCAAGAACTCCCCAGAACTTCGATAGGAAGAGACAACTCTCTGACTCGCAGACAGAAACAATGAACAATTCAGACAGCAGAATAAATCCTAGACAACTGGGAACTCCCAGAGGTATTAAAGCAGAGTGTGTACAGGCTTCAGGAATAAGCTGCCCTGAAGCATGTGCTCAGCGCTATTAAAAGATGGGCTGAGATGAATGCTCTTAACTCTAAAATGAGCTGTAAAAGACTGTTGATTATTTGTAAAATATGATTATTCCAGGCTTTTCGGTGCTCTGAAGTTGGGTGCCAGTATTTCTACGTAAACTGTTCTCAGAAGTTCAACTTTGAATATAAAGCCTATGTACAGCTGCTCTTAAGATATGTAGACAAGATTGGTGGGCAAGATAATACTTACAAATTTTTGTTTGCAGGAGGATCCTATGCTGCTGTCCCAACATCAGGTGATAGAAAGACTCTAAATAAACCCACCCGAGGGAGGAAGAAGAGTGTATTTGAAGCCTACATGTCTAAAGAAGATGTATCAGCAGGACTGAAAAGGGGAGAGCTAATTCAGGTGCCTGGAATATAAAATGTCCATGTTCTTGTCATAAGTCTGTGGAAATCACAGGCAGTTGTTGGAAATCAGTGTCAGTTGTTTGCATGACAGGGAACTGATGTACCATTTGTAGATACTAGAAGAAGATTTTTTTTCTCTTTTTCAGAAGGTTCTAGAAGTGGAACAAAATTTTTATGTTAAGCTGAAATGTAGTTTTTTTGTTTGATTGCACCAATTTTACAATTCTGTAAGATTCCTGATGCACACTCATGCTGAATTGCAGAGTTCTGGTTGGATGGTCTGCTAGCCATGATAGTCATTGTTGTGGAGACACTTGCTTTTACAAACAATGCCCAAAAACACAGGAGGTGCTGGCAGCCTCTGTCTTTTTCAGTGTAAGTAAAAATAAATGCCCTTAGCAAGATACTTCTTGTTGAAATTCCTTGTAAAGATGTTAATTAGTCCTCAGCAATGAGGTGCAGACAGCTCTGCTTCCAGATCTCCTCTTCTTTTTTCAGTCTATCTACTCTTCCCAGAAGTCTTCCTCCCACAAAAAAAAAAAGGGAGAGTGATGGTGCAGGTGGTGCTCTGGTCCCTGGGGTCTCGTAGGACTGCGGCTACCAGGGCACTGCAATAACCAGTTATAAACTATGATGTAACTGGTTAAATTGGTATCAAATGGTGAGGCAGTGGTACACACCCTTGATTTGCTTGCATAATTTTCTTTGCACCCCGCTAAGGCCATAGGGCTGATGCAGCCACTGCTGACAGTGTGTAGTTTACTGAAGTAAGGCACAGATAGTAGATGGAACTGAAGAGCCCATCAAGATACAGAAAATCATTTGCATGTGTGTGTGCGGTTCTTTGCCTTGAACAGCTAACAATAAACATGTTCTTATGTTATAGATTCTAAAGATCAAAAATTGGACTTCGTGCTTCCATTTGGAGCCGGAAAACTGCAGCCATAATTAGGCAGCAATTCTTCTCTGAATGTCTAGTAAAATGTGGGAGAGGGTCTGCTGTATGCGTGGGTAGCTGGATCTCGGAAAGGGTTTTGCGTAGAGGCAGGCACAGCTGAGGTTTCCTGAGGAGTAGGAGAAGAGGATAGCATCCTAGAACCACTGTTCTGGTACCATCCTCAACATGGCATGGTGTTCTTCAGGACACACCTGGTATTCCAGGGAGATTAGACTGTTCGCGGGAAAAAGGCGCATGAAAGTCAGTGAGGTCGTGACAGACACTCATGCTGGGGTCTGGTTTACCCAAGCACACACTGGTGCATTGCCAGTTAGTGTTGTAATGCCAGTGAGATACTACACTTTCATCAATACACTGAATTTGCAAATGGCATCACCTCGCTTTTTGTCTGATTTCTTGTTATAATTGCATAGTAGTTCTTGTATAATATAATACAATGGCATAATTTCCAGAGGTGTAATGAGGATTCCACATATAAGATTACCTGGTTCTGTCCTGAAGACCAATCTGATTAGCTCTTAATTTTCAGAAAAATGACTATGTGGCATATCCCTGCTCATGATCAGAGTGGTCCACTGGACTACCCAGACCTTAGGCCACTGCCTTTTTAAAGACCGTCATAGACATTCACAGTAGGAAGCAAATGGTGAGGGAAGAAATGGGAGCCTCATGACTTCTCCCCATGGCTGCAGTGGCATACGGCAGCAACTTAAGCTTCTACCTTAAACTTCAGGAGTGTTTTCAGCAATGCAGCCTGATAGCATTAAGTGCAGTGTGTGTAGATGGCCTATGAGGTGGGGTGCAGCTGCAGATAAGGCACATCAGACTATGACTGCTACCTGAGAATCCCATTGAAATACTGAGTCCCAGCGGACCTGTGGTTGCACGCTCTCTGGCAAAAGAATCCTTAATTCATGTAAATGCATAGTGTCTGCTTCAGGTCATGTGCTACATAACTGGGAGAGTCATACTCTTCCATACATATTTCTGAAGCTATATCTATTTTCTTTTCATCCAGTTCCACATCTCAGGGGAAGAGTAGATGCTGTAGAAGCTAGGTGGAATCACTTAGGACTGAGTGTCAGATCATGAGAATCCTGGCTCAGCATCTTTCATCTTCAGCTCATTCATCTGTATGATCTCATCAAGACCATTCATAATTGCAGTCTCAACCAGCATAGGTGAGATCCTGAAAGCAACTTCAGTGAATAGACATATATTCAGCACTGTTCTGTACAATGGCAAGAGACATAGTGAGCAAATACCTGTTGTTTTAATCCCCAAAAGCAGGGCATTGGTCTGGTGTGTAAAACTGCAAAAATGTTCCACAAGAGCCTGTGGAAGAGGAAAACAAACCTATTGGTCTGAATCTGGTGGTCCTGAGCAAAGTTGAGTGCTAGCGAGACAGCAGCATGATCCTGAGCAGGGACTGTTCCCTGGAGCATCCTGGAAACAGTGGATCTGCACATATTTGTGTGAGAATTTGAGAGATTTCTTGGAGGGAAAAGACCCTACCATGAACTCTGAGGATGTTGCAGGACACTGGCAATGCAGCTACTCATCTCAATGCTCCTGAAAGCTCAACCCGTGGAAAAACTGCTGGCAGATGTAGAGATCACTCAGATAAAACATGAGTGCCATGAAGATTAAGTAGTCCTAGGTCAGGAAGAACAACAGTCTTATCTTTATGGGTGCTGATGTCTGTCAATAATAATAGTCTTAATAGCTTCTGGTACTGTATCTGACATAACTCAGTTTTTGATAAGTAGCACGGAGAATTTTGCCCTGCAGGATTCCTGGATTCATCTAATCATGTGACGTGTGTGGAAGTGTCCTTCTGAAAGAAAGGGGATCTGAGATTAGGCACTTAAGAGGGCGTAGACTTCCACCTTCCCTGCCTGTAAATCTGTCTGCAGTGAGCATACACCAAGCCTATCATGTTGGATGGAATCACATTGGATGGTCCAAAGGCAAACAAGATTGAGTAACTCTAGCATAGCTACAGAAGTAGATGGTGTTGGCTACACACGATGGATTTAGTCAGGTTATGTAGTAAGGAACACTGACCCAAAGGACCATAATCATCCCATGAAGCACCAGGCAGAAACTCATGTCTGCTCCACACCGACAGTGTCTCCCAGACCCTCCATGCAGGTCTGCTGGGGAGCAAGAGTGAGCAGCTTACAGAGGTGCAGAGCCTGCTCTGCCATTAAGAGGCTGTTTTTCCTTGGGAAGCTGTTCTTTTGTGGGTGTGAAGGCTGGGGTTTCCCTCATTTTCATGGATTGTTTTTTCAAAGGTGGCCTTGGTAGCAAGCAGATATTTGAACCCCGGCCTTTTTTGGTGTTTTGTACATACAAACAAACCTAGTCAAATGTGTTATGATAGCTGTTACATACTACTGCTTGATTTGAGATGCTTGAAGTTTAGTCTCAGTATTGCCTGCCCTGGTTCTAGCAGAGCAACTTGAGAAATCATGATCCTTTTGTATCTCACTGTGGAAGCTCAATAAGGTTAGAAACTGTTTTGCAAGTATGTGGGAAGCTGACTTGAATCATCAGAAAATGTTTTAGAAACCTTCCTGCAAATGTTTCTCTTCCCTTTCAAAACAAAAGCCCTACTGACACAAGCCCACTGATAAATATAGCAGCTATTATTTGCAAACTATTGTAAAATAATACAACATCAGTGTGACATCATGAGACTCTGCAGCCAGATCCTCACCCCCTAATACACATATGAGAACAGTTGTTCATTGCAGATGGGGAGAGTGACTGGTTCCAGATATGATATCACAGCGTGAAATGTACAACATTGTAAATAGGATTTTCGTAGGCACAGATAATAGGGCCTGTCCGCTTTCTAAGATAAATTTTGGGAGTTCCTTGCTTAAAGGAAAGAGCAGAAGTATTTTAATGCTACTTGATGTAAGAATTCTAATCTGATCATAATTAGGTAGTGCATATAAAATGTAGAGAAACTTGCTGCATAGTGAATATGGTAACACTTTGCTCCTCTGTGTGTTTGCTGGAGCTGGGCATCCATGTGTGTGTAGCCGCTCTGGCGCCTCCTGGGCTATGGACACAAAACCTGATTTTTCACGCGCATAATGGGTGTTTGCACCTGGCTGATTGACAGCTGTCCAAAACTGTTTGATGGAATTCTGCAGAGTAACACAGGATATCCAATCATCTGCTTTGAGCTGGTGGGTAGATGCTGGTATGGGAATTCTTTGACTTGTTGTCAAGCAGGGCAACCATCCCTTTTCAGTTTTTCCCTTCTCTCTGTAGCATCTTTCTTTACTAACAGCATATTGGTTTTGATGGCTGATTCTGGGAAATAAGAGGAGAAAAAAAGACCATTGAAACTTTTCCATCAATGAGTACCAATGTTAATAGAGGTTGATGACAGCGAGTTAGCTCTCACTTTTCCTAAGCATAAAATATCCCCAGGGTCGCTCCCAGTGGGTCATCCTTGTTTTTGTGCTGTTGTCCTGGGTTGTGCCTGGCATGTGGCTAGTTAATGCTAGTTACATAAGGCATAAAATTAAGACATCACAGTGAAGTATTCAGATAGTGCCTAAAGAATATACGTTATCTGGTGCTGGTATTTCCAAACTTAAGCAAATAAAAACAATGGAAAACCTTCATAAATCTGCAAATTCTTAAAGGCAGCAAAACTTTCACATGTAATCAGCTTTATTTTCCTATCGTCTTGAGCGTTTCCCAGAATACATAAAAAAATTAAATGCTGCAGTAAATCTTTAAGGAAGCAATTCCTGTGAGAGGTTCCTATGATTGCTTAACACAGAAGTGCAAACAGATGGAATCTGTTCATATAACAAATTGGCCAGCGTTATTTCAAATACACAAGTGGAGAAAGTTTTGAAGTTTCAGCCCAAAACAGAAGCCTGTCTGAAGGCAGATACCTAGTTGCATTTCCATAAGAATCCAGTGCTGTCAGCTTTAACTACAGTCACCTGGATCACAATTCCCAGGACCTTCTTGGGATGATGGTGGCACTTGGTTGGCTCTTCCTTTTTCTTGGATGGACCTGAGCACAAGCTGCAAAACTGGTTGGTTTACTTTGGAGGGGTGATATGAATTTGTGGCAGGTGACTTGAGCTTTGACTTGGCAGATGACAAAGCAGAAATAGATAGACCATGGAGTTGCAAATGTATTTAAGATGGTTTGACTTTAAACATGTTTAAACAGAATTTAATCCTGTAGACTTTAAATGTTTGTTTTTGGAAAATCCTTTTGATTCTTCTTTGGAAATGTTCTTTATCACAGAATTACTGCTACTGTCTGTTTGCAGGAACAGCCTAAGCAGCCAGAACCCCATAAGGCTGATACCAGCTGCCATGCAAGTTCACCAGACCAGCTTTTCCTCTTTCCTTCTGCCCTCAAAAATAAGCGAAATCAACATTCTGCTTTTCCAAAACAGAGCAAAACAAATTGTTTCTATTGTCTGTTTAATGAAGCTAGTGGATGCTCAGCAGAAAATGTATGAAGGGAGAAGGAGGGCTTGGATCCTCAGTTTACCCAGTAGCAGCAGCAACTAATGATTCAACATCTTTTCAATGACAGACTGCAGTATATCAGCTTAAGCCTATCATGAAACTGCGTTTTGGCTTGAAATTGCTCAGATGCTAAGTTGTCAAGACTTGAGATGTATAATGAAAATTTAGATGTATCTTTCATGTTTCACAGCGGATATATTACCCACAGCTCTCTAATTTAAGTGATGTTATATAAAATGAGTAAGATTCAGGCATAATCTTCCTCCTTCTTCTCTTTTTTTTAAGGGACCCTTGAGAATAAATCCTAAGAAGTACCATGAAGCCTTCATTCCATCTCCAGTAAGTGTAATTTTATAATGCTTTAAAGTTCATAAGTAAAAGTGCATTAGGATAAGAGTTATGCTGTGCACAAGAGGTCACTCAGAGGTGAATGAGTTGGAATAAATGAACATGATCTGGATTTCCTTTTAAATCAGATATTCCCAAACAAATCCAGCTTTTTCATACCTCACAGAACTACTTACTTAGCTTGTGCTGAAATTGGGGGTACTGCTGGGTTCCATAGAAGCCAGCTGAAGTCAGGTTTGAGGACCACCAAATAGCGTAATTGGAAACCCGTGGTTTATAGCTGCAGAGGTTTTACAGATTTTCCACTGATTTAGGTTAATCTTCCCTAAACAAATATGCTTTCCATTTCCAACCTGCTGCATGAGCTAATTTGAAAAGTCATTCCAGAAATAATATGCGTGATTCCTTTTCATGTGCCCGCTTTTTCACAGATTCTCTCTCTGTTGGCTTGGGATGTGCTTTTGTCACAAGGAACTGGCTTGTACCTCTTCTTTCCTTATTTTGACAGAAAAGAAGGGCTTTTGCAATTTCAGAGACTTCTGGTAGGGAATGTGACCTCACAGCTGGCAGAGCCAGGGTTTTTATCTGGGACTGACTTGGTCAAAATGTTGCCATCAGCGAGAGAGTTTCATATTGAAATGTTTTGTTGGTGTGGGGGAGAGAAGGCAGAGCCTGCCCTCAAACAGTGAAACACTGACTCTGTTGTTGTTCCTGCTGCTGACAGTGCTATTGTTTTGGGGCTTGGATTGAAAGGCTTGAAATTTGTGGTTTGTCATTTCATGTTGTTGATTCGGGGTAATGTTTTGAAGCCCAGTTTGTTAGAGAAGACGAGCATTACAGAGGTGGAGGAAGGTAGGGAGTGCACAAAGTAGATTAACTAGAGGAAGAAGTACTGCGCAGCTCTCTGGTAGATTAGGAGAGCAGCACTGTCTGTGAAAGGAACTGTGATCCTTACTTTACAGGTGTCCTTGCAGGTGTGTAAGTGTAAGCTGTTAAGTGTATTCTCTGATATTACAAAATGCAAGGTTAAATGAGAAATACAGCCACTCGCATAAGTTGACTTGGATGTGAAGCTTTACCCCTAATCACACCTAGTATCCATCTGTTGCCTTTTACGGTCAGTTGCTCTTTGTTCTGCAAGCAGGAACACACACATCAAGGAAGATAAAGTGAGGCTGTCATCTCAGCTGTCTTTCTACTTTTCTGCCCTTTTTGGAGCTAAATACCAGAACCAGCCTTGTTTCTGATAACAAGCAGAATGAACACCTGGATGAGGATGACTCTGGCTGGTGTGGACACAGTCGTCCCTTTAAGACAGGTGTTTTAGGAAGCTTATCCTTTGTATAACATTATTTGGCATAATGGAGGGTTTACAGCCTGTCATGTTCTGCAGGACTTCCCATTTTTGCCAGATGTTGCAAGAGCTGCAGCTGTGAAAAATCAGCCTTTGTCTCCTGCTGCTGACTAGGGCACTGCACCCCTTTCTCTTCAGTTCTGACTTGGCTATGGCTTTATGGAGTTCAAATGCAACAGCTGTTCACCTTCTAACACCAGAAGTCCCAGAGTGTTTCTTGCTGTACATGTGCTTTGTCTGCTTGTCTCATTGTTGCATGAAGAGTTGATGGGAAGGCCCAGGACCTTTCTGCTGAAAGCTACCCAGAGAATAGATCTGACCATTTAAATCTGTGCCACACATCTGTGTCTCCTCTGCACACAGTAGTGTGATTTGAAATCATGGCATTGTCAATGTGAAGAATAATACTGCTGAGCAGGAGTGGTGGAGTGACTGTGGCAGTGCTGTGCTTGTGGAAGACACTTCCAGAGCAGATGAAAGCATTATAGATCTCCTTCTTGTCAGAGAGGGACAGAGAACAGTGCCAGCGATATACACAGGTGGTCATGGAACAGTAAAAGCCTGGTACTCCCTGGAGAGGGCTGCAGAAGTCTTGAAGCCATTGTGGCCAATACAGTATATGCACCCCAGGGGCAGCTGAGACTTTTCAAGTGATTGTGTTCTGTTGTGATTCACTGCCATTTCAATTGCATTAGTAATCTGAAGTGTCAGCCGTGCAGCATAGGGGATGCTGAAGGAAAAAGTGGGATGCACAAGTGTTATTGGAAGTGCGTAAGTTCGTCCAACAATCATGAGCCTGGAGTATGAGATACAGAAATGTTTCTTTTTGGAGGAGAGTCCAAAACTGACAGCAGTTTCCTGATTACAGCTTTGTTGCAGGCATTGAAATTAACTGCTGTAAAATAGATGTGCATACACGTATGTAAATGTGTGCTTATATATGTATGTATAAGGGTATATTGTTTGGGATGAGAATGATTGGCCGCAGTTCAAGACAAGACTTTTGCAGAGTATGGAGATACAGCTTTAACTTGGTGGTACTGGCACATCAGGCGTCTTTCTGGAGGGAAGGTGTCTGCCTTGCATTTCCTAGGGCACAAGAGAGAAGGAAAAAAGTGTAGAACAAACAAATTATCATGAATGCCAGCCTGTGTCCTGCAGCGCAGAGCAGCTACAGATACAGACCAAAAAAAAAAAACCAAACCCAAACAGGCATTTTCCTTACAAAGTGACTTTGAACTTTTCTGTGTGTGGTGGATTTAAGTAAAGAGCTGGGGCAGAAGGGAGAGGGTGGGGAGAAATGAGGAATAAGACCATGTGTAAAAAAATCTGTCTTTTTTAAAAGAACAGTTTCCAATTTGAATTATGTTGGTCCAAGAAGCTTTGCAATTTTTCTGCATCTTGTCATGGGAGGCAGCTTTCACACAGCTGTTGAGCTGCTGCTGCTTTTCTTTCTAAGAGTAATTTGGTCTCTTGGAGGACAGCCTTAGTTTCACATCATGGCAGGGTTCTGCCATTTTATTGTTTTGTTATCTAAGCAGAGCAAGATATTTGTGTGATACTAGGGCTGCATGTTTTCAGGTTATAAAAGTTTTTCTTGGAGACTGAGCATACTGGTAGTTCTGATTGGATTTACTCAATCGTATGAGACTCAGGAGTGTGTATCTGAGAAGTGACTAAGGTTGTGATGAAGATTTTAATTCTTGTGAGGTTGGTTTTCTTGTTGAAAGACAATGAAGTACTAATCTAAAACTTTTTTTTTTCACCTCAAAACTATTCCAAGATAGCTCTTTCTAGAAAAACTATGTTGGCTGTTCATTTCGATACTAAATACATTGTTTGATACATTTATGGCACTATAAACAGACACATGGAATTTTTCATATACTGAATTATGAGGAAACAGTAATGAAAGCAACAAGAGCACTGCCAATAATTAGCCAACAGAAAGGGCGAAACTAGCAATCCTTTAAAAACTAAAACCTTTCCTTCGACATCTTCAGGAAACTTCATCTTTATTCACCCCGTGAAGAAAATCTTCTGAGCTAAATCTAGATTAGCCGAAGGCCAAACATGTGTGGAGTGGATAATCATAGTGCGTACAATTACTAGAGGCTCTTTTGCAAGGATGTTAACCGAGAGTACTGGGAGAAGGTGTCCTAACATGTCTGTTACAGTAAAAGATCTTCTTGCTTTCAGTTGGCATCTGTAGCTATCATTTTTGGGGAATCTTTTCTAACATTACTTGTGCCAAATGCACAATATATTGTGTTAACTCATTAAAAAAAAAGAGTCTGCATCCCCAGCCACTCTCCAGGCCACCCTCACAGACTGACCTGCTGATCCCAGAGCTGCATGTCCCTGCTTTCCCATGTCACTAGGAGAGCAGCAGGCAGGTCTGCATGGGGCACTTTATGGACATTCTTGTAAACATGTTCTTAACAATGGCTTTGAGTACTTGAGTTGGGAATTTAATGTGTAAAGATCTGTGACTACAGAAAACTCTCTACCCACTCCCAAGAGTAACTGCAGAGGAACTGAGCAGAGCTTGCAGACAATACATCTTGAGGGCTTGGCTCTGTCGTAGATAAATAGTGTGGAACTACTGTACTGGCACATACATACAAAGGAGCTTATTTGCTGAAAGATTGCATGTTGAAGGGCATATGGTGAATCCATTTAATTTCTGTGCGCAACTGCAGGATGTTTGTCTCACCAGGGTGTGTGTCTTTTTGATGACAGTGTTTTAAATCTCATAGCAACTGTAATTTAATATGTTTTGGTCTGGCATTTATTTTTCTCCCTCTTTGACTAGGATGGGACTCGCGATATCTTTATTGATGGAGTGGTTGCTCGCAACAGAGCCCTGAACAGTGACATTGTGGTAGTGAAACTGCTTCCCAAGGAGCAATGGAAGGTCAGTTCAGTATATTTTTGTGTGATTTGACAGAAAGAGCTTATTACTGTTTTCTTCAGTAAGCTTAGGGCCTGAGACAGTGAACAGAGAATTTCCTACAAATCAGATTAGTTAATTTGTGGATTATGCTGCTATAGATTAAAACACTTTACCCATTACAAAGTTTGGAAGAAGTGATACCTAAAGAGTTGGAAACTTACTCTTTGCATAGAATGGCCTTTTTTATTACCGTATGGAGTAGTCTAACAATGAGGCTAGTTCAAGGCATGCTTGTCAGAAGTGACTTTCATTATTTGTTATTTAGCTGTCTTTATGCTGTGGCACTGGAGAGCTCTGTGTAGTTGTTTGCAGTTGCTCATCTATTGACAAGTGCTGTGCACAAAGCTTTAGTAATGATTAAGTCTAATTTGTGGGTCCTCAGCTCGTGGAAAGCTTATCTTGTCACAGCTCCAGATTTTGTGGTAATACTCTTCTTTACATGAATGAAGAATGTGTGAAATGACTGGAACAGTGCAAATGTGGGACAATCCATTGTTCATTTTCACATCTCAAAATTTCACTAAGGATACTCTTTTTTTTGCTTTCAGCAGTCAAACTCAAAGTCCTTTCAAACATCTGGATAATTGTTTTCCAGACATGGTTTTTGAACTCTTCTTCAGAATGTAAAGACTGTTGTATATCTTTTGGACAGAAGTAATAGTGAGGGTGATTCCAGCAGGGTAGGGGCTTTTTACTTGTTCTAGCTACCTTCTCTGGCTGCCTTTGAAGTTACATGTTTTTAGGCTAGCAAATGCAAGGTCTTCAGTCTGATCATTTGCTGAACCTTCTGCCTTCTGTGTTTAAATCTGATAGTAATGGAAATAATGGTTTGGAACATATTAGAAGTTGTCTCTTCCTTTTAAGTATGCATAAAATGAGTAAATGACCTAAGTATTTATTGACATATGTAAATGCAAAACTACCTTATGCAAAAGGTAGTCATAAGTGCGATCTAAGATATTGCAGATGTATCCATATACAAATACAGGAAAGAGGTCTGCTGTTAAATATGTAACCTCTGAAAGCCAGGTTTGAGGGTCAAAGCAAAATTTCTTTGATAGCTATTCAAGAGCCCAGTTCACTAAATCTTTCATGATTACTATATGTTTGCATCACCAAATCCATATACATAATTTCTCTTGTGTTTTAGACTATTTCGTAGAGTTGGAAAAATGGAATAGTTTGGGTGCTTAGATCCTTTGCCAGGACCTGCCAGCACAAGGACTTCTTTGTAGGCTTGATAGAGGCTGCCTGAGCTGGAAGCTTTGTCTGCAGTTTTCTATTTATATCTGGCTCTAAACAAAGATAACGCCTCTCTCTCTTGTATCCTCATACCTTCATGTGTTCAACAGTAATGTTCTTTTATGAATACAAGAGGAAGGGTTCAGAATATTCTTCATGGTCTGGGAAAATGCTAGAATAAACAGAACTGGTGGTGAAGTGGTGTCCAACTGCAAGGAGGCAATTCAGAAGACTTCAGTGTTCTGTAGTATGATTATGATTCTTCCCTGGTAAATTTAACCTTGCCAAATGAGTTAGCTGGAACATGCCAGTCATGTTTTTTAGCCACACAGGTGCTGCCCTATGTAGTCTCATCTTTTATTTCTCACCATCAGTAACTCAATCAGCGATGACATCCCTTTTCCCCAGCTCTCTGAATCTCTTGCTATGTGCTCATGTTTATATTAGTTCTTTGGGAAAGGTGCCACCAAGTTGCACTGAAAGATACCACATTCTGCCATATAATTCATACTGATTAATGATAAACTGTTGCAACCTATTTTAGGTTTTTCCATTTGTTTAGTCTCATGCTGCTGCAAAGCTGCCATATAGGTGTCTTAAGGGTTTTCTCGTTCCCATTGGGCCTTTGGAACAAGATGAACAGCTTTAATTATTAAAATGTAAATCGGATGTATGGTATAACTGATGCTCTCAGAGACTTTACAGGCTCTGTGCATATTGATTTGTTAGGATTGAGATGTGCATGCTGATCGTTTGTTCACTATTCCCAACCCATTGGTCCGTGCTCCACTGAGAACTTAACTGTTTGGGGTTTTTTTATTTTGCTGGTAAACCAGGGTCTTGCACAAGGTAAGGTTGCTGTAACAGCAACATGGTGGGTCTGTGCCTTCTGAGTTGCCAGCACCCTGGATGGCCTCTGGGTGCTCTAGGAAGATCTTCGCTTTGCTAGTGAAGGTGATTCCTGCTGTAGATCACTTTGTGTGAAGTCACAGTGTAATGCTGCATCCCAGTAGTGGCAGGTCTTAGCTGGAACCTTCGTTCAATTTATGTGCGTAAATGGGAGGAAGGGGGAAAATGTGTGACAAGTAGAACTGTGGATTTTGGATAGGAAAATCTGTGTGCTTGAAGAGTTGAGGACATTAGGAGCTGCCCTGTACCCAGTGAGTCAGTCTTTGTGGGTCAAGTACCAGTGAGAATAAAGCACTCTCTGAGAGCAGTTTCTCCAGGGATATATTGTGTTCTGCTGAGCTTGTAATGGTGATACCTTACAAGTATAAATGCCACAGTAAAATGTAAGGGGATGGTGAAATACTCTAGGTGCATGGTTCTACTTTATGTAATACCTTCTTGAGAGGGACAGCAAGACTTTCTTCCTCCAGCTTTTCACTTCCCGGCTCAGTGGTGAGAAATTTATCAGGCTGGAATTTGTCAACATCATGTCCTTCTCTGCATGTGCATCAAGTGCTTTAACGAGTTACCATCATCCTCCCCGTGCTTACTCTGTCTAGCCTTACAGCTCTGTTTGTTCATTCATCTTCTGGGAGAGCTGCTTGCTGTTCAGTGATGATCAGTTTGTCAGTTCATATTTCTGTGCTTACTGTTAGTTCTGATTAAGAGCCAGAAATTTCTGTGCGGCCCCACCAGCTCGAGGGAGAGACATTTTGTCCCTGAAATCTGTTATCTTGCGCTCCTGAACAAGGTGGCTGGCTGCTTCCTAACACGGTTGAGTGGCCTACATTTCGGTGACTGTATTTGGAAGCTGTATTTCAGAAGTTCCTCTCCTGTCCTCTTGTGTTACATCTTGGGAATATCGAGGTGCTATGGTAACTTTCAAATATTTAGCTTTTGCAAAGTAAGGTATATGACTTAGAATGTTTTTCCAGGTAATTAACCTACTCTTAGCAAATGAAGTCAGAGTATCATTGCAGTTAGCTAGACTGTCCCATTCTTACTTCAGACTTGCTTCAAACTTTTACTTCAAACTTACTTCAAAGCTACTTCAAGCTTACTTCAAACTTACTTCAAACACTGTAGGGCTTCCCTGCATCTGTGCCTTTATCTTCTGGAAGAACACCATGATAAAAGATAGCCAGTGACAGGATTTACCTCAGGCCTTGTCAATTCTTCTGATAAAGAAGAAAAATGGTATTTTATTTCTTGACTGATTTTCACTATTTTAACTTCCACCTGGGGTTCTTATTATATTTTATGGAGCTGTGCTTCCATCAGTTTCAGGAGCTTCAATTATACGGTGGCATAATTACTGGAAGGAAAAAAAATGATGATATGATGATTGCAGCAATACTTCTCAAGCTCATCAAGGAGGGAAGCAGCATGTCAGTATAAAGGATAAACCTAACTCATCTTTCTTCACAAGCTCTTTTTGCTCTTTTACTGTCTGCTTAATTGCCAGACAGAATTTGTTTAACTTTAGATATCTGTTTTGGTTTTTCTTGCAAGATGTAATTTCTTCAGTGGAAGAAAATAGCGTAATAAGTAATTTGATATCACTTGGGGCTTGGATTCCTGGCCCAATCTCTGATGCTTTTAAAGTAGTAGTTTATAATGTGGAATGTTTTTCATGACAACCATCTCACGCTTTGCATGCTATGGCTGAAATTTTAGAGTCTTAGTCTGAAAATAGTACCCAGACCAGGACTTTTAACTGCTCAAAACTGCCTGAAAAGATTTTTGGGGTCCAACTCCCTATTGCTTGCTACAATATGCAGGAGAGATCCCCAGTTCTGTGTCTGCTTGCTGCAGTGGTATATAAAGTGATAATGACATATACTATATATGTACATAAAATGATGACTGATTAACCTTCAAGTTCCTTAGAAATCTGTGCCTGCAAGTGCCATCTTTTGTTATTGTTTCATGAATCATTTCCTCTTCAGCTTGAAGTGCTCCTTTGCACTGTTTTCAGTTCTTTTGATGTTGCCAGGAGGTCTCCAAGGGCACGGAAGTAGAACTGTTCATTTATGTACAGTGTGTGTTGCTGGGTAATTGGAATAATGGGTCTAGCATTTTAGTCATGAAGTGTCCAAAAGTAATAGAAATAGTAAGCCTTTATAGCTTATGAATGCATATGTTCTGTTCAACACTGAGGTGTCAGATACAATACTGTACAGCAGGAGGTCTTCGAGCTGCCTTTTCTAGAGTCATACATCAGAGATAAATATTTAAACAGTTTTTGTACAGAGTATATAAACTACAGTTAGCTTTTCCCAGCTTTGACTGCTGTTGGCATAATTACAAACAAATGCAAAGAAGGAACAATTTATTTCAAGCAGACATCACAAATATCTCCATGTATATTTTGAACAGAGCTACATATCCTGGCAAGTCACTGCCTCCAACTGTTGGTGAAAACCTATGAACCATTAGTTGTCCAGAGGGGATGCTAGCTTTGGATTTACCCTGGTGAATAATGATACATTTCAACCAAATTCTTCTGAGAGTCAGTTTCTCCTCAAAATCTTCCAGCTAATGTAAGGATAACAGCAACTCAGGAGGAGATGGGGTTCTTAGAGGGTTATCACAGCAATACTGTTTGAGTCTAACAATCAAGAATGTTGTTTGGAAACATTACATTCATAATAATAATAAAAAAAAATGTCCTGGAGAAGTCATTATTGAAATAGTAAGTGTTCTGGCATGCTAAAAACATTCAAGTGTAATTCATGATATCCAGGAGTAAAGTGGGAAGCCTAAGAAGC